CTTATGCATTCACAGGTTCTGTCGTCCCCACCACTTCTCGATTAATGGTTAGGTCTGAATTCTACAACGGAGCCCTTAATGAAATTTATTAATGAATGAAATTTTTTCTTGAGTCAACCTTCTCAGTCTTTATTGGCTCAGGGCTCTTGATTTTTTCTTCTATGCACCGATTTGTCTAATTATGGATCAATCAGTATTGATGCTTTATTACATTCCCTTTATATGAGATGACTCATAGACCTTACATATTGGAATTATATATCATTGATATTTCTTTTCCTATCTTTCTCTCACCCTTCCATTTATCTGTATACTTTTATTGCTTTACAACTCATAATCAGATTGGTTTTTCTTTTGTGTTTATGCAAAAAAGATTTCAGTTGCTACAATGATATGACTCATATATCATATCTTGACTGGTTCCTTATATCCAGATAATGCGAAGCGATGAGTTGATTATTAGTTCTATAGTTATCAGTTCGTACTACGGGCCCGTCGATTTTGTTGAATCCTATAATCCTAAAAAAACCAACGAGTCACACACTAAGCATAGCAATTATATCAAACGATTAATCGAATTTTTATTCAACCTTATAGAATTGTTCATTTTTTTTTTATTTAACAGAAAAGGAATGAAAGAGTTTGCCTTTTTTGTTTTATCACCAGATAGAACTAAATACAAGTAAAGTAAGTTCTTATTATTCCTCGTCTACAAATATCCAAATTTTGATGCCTAATACCCCATAGATAGTTCGAACTGCGTAGGCACAATAATCAATTTTAGCTCGAATGGTTTGTAGAGGAACCCTACCTTCTCTGATCCATTCAACACGTGCAATTTCTTTTCCGTCGATACGCCCTGCAATTTGTACTTGAATTCCTTTTGTACCTGCCTGTTCAGTTAATTCAATAGCTTTTTTCATTGCTTTGCGAAATGAAACTCTATTCTTTAATTGTCCGGCTATAAATTCTGCAAGAATATTGGGGTGCCCATAGGGGTTTGAAATTCTTCTAATAGCAATGTTGAGTTTTCGGTTTACACAATTGAGTTCTTTTTGTACATTCATCTGTAATTCTTCGATTCTTCTAGTCCTGTCTTCTATTAATAACTTGGGGAATCCCATATAGATTATGACCTGAATCAAATCGATTCTTTTTTGAATCTCTATACGTGCAATTCCCTCGACATTAGAGGATATTTTCATATTCTTTTGTACATAATTTTTGATACAATCTCGTATTTTTTGATCTTCTTGTAGATCCTCTGAATAATTTTTTGGTTGCGCAAGCCAAAGAGAATGATGTCCTTGGGTTCCACCAAGTCTGAAACCAAGCGGATTTATTTTTTGTCCCATAATCCCCCACTACTATATATATCGTGAAACGTCATATCTGTTTGTATTTTTTTTTTATACATTCGGTTTTTTTTAAGCATAACATAATATAGCGTATTTGTATTTTTTATAATATAGAATATTATTCCTTTAAATATTCCTCAGCTCTAATTTATAGCTTTTAGTTTTAGCTATTTCTTCCTCTTCATCTAAAGATATATCTTTCAATACAATAGTTATATGACAAGTGGATCTTTTTATTGGATAACTACGTCCTCGAGCTCGAGGCTTTAATTTTTTCACAGTCGTGCCCTCGTTGACTTCGGCTTTACTAATGATTAAACTTGTTTTGTTGAAACCCTTATTGTGAGTAGCATTTGCTGCTGCAGAATAAACCAATTTTAAAATGGCATAACATGCTCGATAAGGCATGAGTTCTAGTATCATAAGTGTTTCTTCATAGGATCGCCCACGCATTTGATCAATTACTCTTCTCGCTTTGTGAGCGGACATACATATATGTTGGCCTAAGGCATATACTTCTGTATATCGGTTCGCCCTTTCCTTCTTTTTCATAATTATAAAATTCACCTCTCATTAATGAACGACAAGCATTTATATTTTATTATTTTTAATTAATTATTAACGACGAGATCTATTATCATTTTTCGCATGCCCTCGAAAATTTAGAGTAGG